TATATTAAGCCTAATTATATAAGTTACTATTCCTTTAAGCCATAAAGTTTACTAAATTTAGTTATTATGTATTGGATTGTTTTAATTGCTTGTATATTGTATTTGCCACATCACACGCTATGTGAAACTAATAAGGGTAAGTGCTATTTTAATTTATACATAGATGCAACAAACTAGTTCTTAGCTAATTAACTAGGGTGTCCACTTGATGAGAATATACTTATCAAGTATACTTGATGAGAATGTACACTTAAATATTTGTATTATTAGTAATTTAAATTGTATCGCTAAATTTAAGTTAATATCTCATGAATTTGTTTTATGATGGCTTATAGGTCTTATCATAATACCAGACTGGGAGATATTACTGTATAATGACAAGTGTACGTATGAGTACAGTAACGACCGAAAAGTGGACCTGTATTGCACTTATCCCCGAACCAATTACACCACATTATACTCGATTAAAATGTATAGTGCTATTTTAATTTATACATAGATGCAACAAGCTAGTTTTTAGCTAATTAACTAGGGTGTCCACTTGATGAGAATATACTTACACATAAATATTTGTTTTATTAGTAATTTATCGTCAAATTCAAGTTAATATACAGTATAATGAACTTGAAACTTAGGACGCACTTATGACTTGGTGACTATTGACTTATCACTTAAGACACCACCCTGGGACATATTACTGTATAATGAAAGATGTACGTATGAGTACAGTAACGACCGAAAAGTGGACCTGTATTGCACTTTTCCCCGAACCAATTACACCACATTATACTCGATTAAAATGTACAAATACACAACCTTGTTATACTCGATAGATATGACAAACAACAATGGTGAGTCGAGTGAACAAGGGCAAACATAAGCAAAAGCTCACTTCACTAATAATGATCAAATTATAGGTACGGGGTGTTTATCAACGAGCACTGCCCGACAAATGAACTCAACTATACGCCTAAATCAAGATCACGTGGTCATAACCATACCTCACCCCACCGATACGACCATGGGCAATTATTCGTGTCAATTCAATTACCTGGATATTACCCATAATTCCCAATTAATTTATTCCACTTTAATGCCCGTATGTAATAAGAAATCGTGGGATCGATTGCGCTATGGTTTGGGTCAATGTTACCGAAGCGACATAATCGGCGATTATAAACAGGATCATTACCAGGATAATTATACATACTATGAATCGTGTGTGTATAGCACAAACGGGAGTGCCCAGGTGACATTAGTTACCGCTGTGTTGAGTGCTTGCTTACTTATGCTCGCGCTCACTTAAGTAATAATTTTATATTTGTATATTTTCATATAAAATCTAATATTTATGAGCATGTTAATGATTTTTAATCAAATTTTTCTGTGTTTGTCTTAATGTATATTATTGTCATATCTTTTGATTAAAATTATGTTCAAAATATTCCTGACATTTGTTTCATGTCTCGGAATCCATATATGGATTCTGGAGATCAACCATCGATTGCACAGAATATTCATCATTTCAAACACCATTCGCGCAAAAAAGTTTAAAACTTTAAATATAATATACATATACGTATACGTATAAATATAATAAACATGTTTTATACGAGCAGGTCAATTATTGCATACATAGTAAATAACCTTGGGTTTATTCAAACTAATATTTCTAAACAAAAGTTTGTTTTTTATAACTTTTGCATTAAATGCTTTTTGTATTTATTGATTAAACACTTGAATCATATTAATATGCTTTAAATTAGCATTTCCCCCTTTTACCCAAAACAACCATTTTTTGGGAATTCCCTTTTAAGGGAAACCGACTCCCTTTCCACCTCCAGGTCTGCAATCAATTCAACATAAATGATTACGTATTCATAAATAATAACACCAACAATATTTCAATGTCAAGTGCAATCTAATGGTCTACTATTACGTGGGATACGCCTCTGCACTGGTAGTTAATGAATGTTGAGTTGATTACAGTCGCGAGCATTTGGATACTGTTTTTAAAAATGTTTCCGATTCTCTAAATAATGGCACACTTTTGTATAAATTAATATCGCTTTAAATATTTCATTATGATATAGCGCACTGAATACTACTTATTCGTTTTAAAAACTAAATATCCTGGCTAGTTCAGCACTAGCTGATTATATTAAGCCTGATTATATAAGTTATTATTTTATTAATTATAAAGTTTACTAAATTTAGTTATTATGTATTTGGCTGCTTTAATTGTTTGTATATTGTATTTGCCACATGATACGCTATGTGAAACTAATTCAACTGATAAGGGTAAGTGCCATTTTAATTTATACATAGATGCAACAAGCTAGTTTTTAGCTAATTAACTAGGGTGTCCACTTAATGAGAATATACTTACACATAAATATTTGTTTTATTAGTAATTTATCGTCAAATTCAAATTAATATACAATATAATGAATTTGTTTTTTTTGATGACTTATAGGTCCTATCATAATACCACCCTGGGACATATTACTGTATAATGACAGTTTTACGTATGAGTACAGTAACGACCGAAAAGTGGACCTGTATTGCACTTTTCCCCGAACCAATTA